GGGCAAAGGAGTATTCCAGGCCCAAAAGTAGATCGATGGTGGGCAAAGGAGTATTCCGGGCCCAAAACTAGATCGACGGTGGGCAAAGGAGTATTCCAGGCACAAAGCTAGATCGATGGTGGGCAAAGGAATATTCTGGGCCCAAAACTAGATGTGGCCAAACCTACAGGAAAAAATTGCTGTTGTACAAGATACAAAGTTTATTGTTTATTAAGTTGTAAAAAATTGAAATTTGTTAATAAAAATAAAGTTGTTTTTAAAAAATTCAAAATGCAGGACCTCTTGGAGGCGTCAAAAATTCAGAGTTTGTTCCCAGGTGTTACAAGGTGAATTCCTGCCCCTCAGTCCTCACTGGAGCCCAAGCAGAAGTTGCCCCACCTGCCTCCCCACATAGAGCCCCCCCCCCCTCTGAGAGTCAGAATTTCGAAGCCAGTTTTGGGTACTCCGCTGCTCTGAGGAGACGTGCGCTCTGAGAGCCCACGCGGCAGAGTCTACCTTTGGCATGAAGTTCCCAGAGGCCCGCAGGGCTTGCGCCCCCTCCCTCCTTGGCCCGACATCAGGTCACTCCGCCCTCCTTGCATCCCCCCCCCCGCTTGTGCTGGCCCAGTCGAGAAGGAGGGGAAAAACATGACATCATGGGAGGAAGCGAGGGCAGCGTGTTTCAGCCATGACCACACAGGAAACGAACCTGTGGAACTGAAAGCAGACGTTGCTTCCTCATCCCTTTCGAGGGAAATTCAGTAGACATGAAATCATGCAGCCCATTTTTAACCACAAAAGATCCCCCACTGTTCTGCACAGGCGCTGGGGACCCCGGGCCAAGAGCCAGCATGGGGCAGTGGTGGAGAGCAGCGGACTCCAACCGGGAGCGCCGGGCTTGATCCCCCACTACTCCCCCCCCCCAGGAGCCTGCCGGGTGGCCCTGGGCCAGTCCCACTTCTCACAGAACTCTCTCAGCCCCACCTACCTGGCAAGGGACCCGCTGAGGGGAGGGGGAGGGAAAGGCGACTGTGAGCCATTCCAGCCCCAAAAAGCCCAGGAGGCACAGGCTTTGCCGAGTCTTCCCCCCCCCACACACACACAGAGTCCTGAAGTAAAGCTGCAAAGGCAGGTGGAGGCTCAGCCCACAGAAGCTTTAGCCAAAAAAAAATCGGCAAAAGTCTTCAAAGCAGTGCCGTGTGAAGCTATTAACAGACGAAAGCAGGCCCCACTCTGGATGAGGCCCCTCTCCCGTTGCCGTGGGAGTCTGGCCTTGACGTCTGGTCCCCTGCCCCGCGCACAAAAGTCCCCTGAGCCCCCACAAGGGCGACCCAGTCCGCTTCCATGGGTCACAGCGGTGGCTTCAGGTGTTCTCCCCAGGCAGGCAGAGAGCCCCTTCCTCTGGGAAGAAAAAGAAAAGGTTTCAGCCCTTCATGGAGACCCACAAGGCAAAGGAACGGTGTGGAACGCAGAACACCAGAGGAGGCAGCTGCGCAAGGGAACAGACGCACGGGGGCTCACCGTGGATTACGGGCCAAAGGGAGAGTGGTCGGTCCCCCCCCTTTCCTGCTCACCTTCGCCTCCGAGGGGCCCTTGGGGTCCCCGGCCTGCCTGGCCCCGCCTGCGCTGTCGCCTCCTCCAGCCGTACACAAGAGCAGCAGCAGCAGCAGCAGCTCCCACAGCCAAGGCGACAAAGGCCACCACGGTGGTGATGCTGGGGGTCTTGGCGTTGGGGGCTGGAGGGGGGGCAGCCTCTCCCTCCTCCAAGGGGGCCCCACTGGCCTCTCTCGCAGCAGCCTCTGGGGAAAAAGCACAGCCGTTTCAGGGGCTCCGGAGGGAACCGGCCGCCCACCCACCCACCCACCCTCGCTCTGCCCTCACTCACCAGCACTGGGCGCTGGGCCGCTCCCAGCCATCGCGGGCACCCGGGGCGTGTCCGTGTGTGCCTCTGCTGCCCACCCCGTCTCCCGGGAGCTCTCGTCTGGGCTGACGCTAGCTGAGCTGGAGGAGGTCGGAGTGGGCACTGTCCTTGGGGAGGTGGGGGCAGGCAGGCGATGCCCCCTGCTGGCGTCTGCCTGCCCTGCTCCCTCTCCTGGGCGTCCTGAGAGAGAGAGAGTGAGAAATGAAGGACGGGGCACAGGGGGCGCCTGCCAGGGAGGCCAGCCAGGCAACAACGGGCGGTGGGAATCTAGGGACACACACACACCCAGCTCCTGTTTCTCCAGAGGCCGGGGAAGGAGAAAACTGACCCCTTCCCTGCCCCATTCCTGGAAGTGGCATGCGCACACATGGGGTCCCAAAGCAGGGGGGGAACCAATGGCAACAATTCCCCCTCCCCCCTCAGACAGGAGTGGGGGCAACAGGGTCAGAGGGGTCTCTGTTGCCAAGGTCCAGCACAGGCAGACACACACACACACAGAGGTGTGCGGAGAGCCCTCAGACTGACCCCAACCTGCCCGGTTTCTCCTCCCCCTCCCTCCAAGACTCTGCACGTGGCAGGGTGGACTCCCCAACCCAGAAAGGGGGAGGGTCCTGATCGGGGGGGAGGGGGGGCTCACCTTTCTGGCAGTAGGAATTCTTGAACTGGATGACCCAGGGTACCTCATGCAGACCACAGACTCGTCTTTTGGGGAAATGGAACCTGCGGGGGGGGGGGCAGAATTAAAGCAGGGGACAAAGACGGCAGGGGGGGCCCCAGGGTCAAGGCAGGGCATCGGGGGGCCGGGATTGCTAATGACTAGAGAGCAGAGGGGCTCAGCACAGGGGTGGGGAGCATTGGATTACTGCAATGCTCTCTACATGGGGCTGCCCTTGGGGCAACTTCGGAAGCTGCAGCTGGTGCAGAATGCCGCGGCTAGGTTGTTGATGGGTGCCCCTATGAGGGAACACATCCAACCGGTGCTGAGGGCGCTGCACTGGCTGCCAATAGCGTTCCGGATACGCTTCAAGGTGCTGGTTATGACCTTTAAAGCCCTTTATGGTCTGGGGCCTGTCTACCTGCGGGACCGCCTTTCCCCGTACCTTTAAAGCCCTTTATGGTCTGGGGCCTGTCTACCTGCGGGACCGCCTGAGATCTGGGTCGCAGGACCGGCTAGTCCCCCCTGGCCCTAGGGATGCCAAACTAATAACTACTAGAACTAGGGTGTTCTCCTTGGCTGCACCAACATTATGGAACCAGCTCCCTCATGAGAGCCGCGCTCGCCGGGATCTCTGCCAATTCCGGAGAGCGGTGAAAACGGAGCTATTCCGCCAAGCATTTAATAACTCAGACTAAGCATGATTGCACTTTATAGTTGCTGCCATGGGTATGTTGTACTGTGTGTAAATAGCGATTTTATTGTACTGTTATAGATTGTTTTAGAGGCATTGTTTTATTGGTTTTAATGTTGTAAGCAGCCCTGAGCCGCTTCGGCGGGAGGGCGGGATAAAAATCAAATAAATAAATAAATAAATAAATAACCAGGCCCACCGCTAATGTGGGGCCCACAGGGCCCAACCCCCTAGCATTTTTTCTGGGCCCCTCCCCCCGGGCCCCAAAGTGCCTCAACTTGCCGCCTCTGACTTGCCTGCCAGAAAACGGAAGGCCCTGCGTTCTGGGGTCACTCCCCCACCGGCCTCACTCCATCCCCAGCCGCCTGGTTTGCTCAGTGGGGCAGTGGCGGTGGGCGGGCAGTCTTGTCGGGCTCGCCCAGGCCGGTGGGCTGGGTTAGTGTGAGACTTCTGTGTGGATTTTGAAATCCCTTTGTATAATAAGTGTGGGGGTGTCCAGTACCAAAACCAAAACTAGCTCAGTCAGCTTAGGATGCCAGACGAACATATTACCAAAAGCATTTCTCCAAGAATTTTCCCTGATATTTGGAGAACTAAAAACATAGATAAAAAAGAATTCACTTTCTTCTTGGCCCGTCATAATACATGGTCAAGGATCAATATGGCATGGCTATCGACCGACAGAGGGTGGCGATAGGGGATCAGCGGTCCCGAAGGCACCCCCTTGAGTGCGGAGTGCCCCAGGGAGCTGTGCTGTCCCCGATGTTGTTTAACATCTACATGCGCCCCCTCGCCCAGATTGGCCGGAGGTGTGGGCTTGGGTGTCATCAATATGCTGATGATACCCAGCTCTATCTGATGTTGGACGGCCAGTCAGACTCTAGTCCCAATGACCTTTCGCGGGCGTTGCAAGCCGTGGCTGGTTGGGTCAGACTGAGTCGGTTGAAATTAAACCCGGCAAAGACGGAGGTCCTGAGCCTGTGTCGGACCGGCCGAGAATTAGGGCGCCCTCTCCCGACCTTCGGCGGGGTGCCATTGGTGCCTATGCAGGAGGTTAGGAGTTTGGGCATGCTCCTGGACTCCTCGGTAACGATGGAGGCCCAGGTGGCAGCCACTGCCAAGTCAGCCTTTTACCATCTGCAGCTGCCCTGGCAGTTGGTTCCCTATCTCGACCGGGAAGACCTGGCCACTGTGATCCATGCGATGGTCACCTCGAGGCTGGACTACTGTAACGCTCTCTACTTGGGGCTGCCTCTGGCGCAAATCCAGAAGCTGCAGCTAGTGCAGTATGCTGCAGCTAGGCTGTTGATGGGCCTCTCCAGGCGAGACCACATCCAGCCGGTGCTGCAAGCGCTGCACTGGCTGCCAATAGCATACTGGATTCGCTTCAAAGTGCTGGTGCTCACCTTTAAAGCCCTGAATGGCCAGGGTCCGGCTTACCTAAGGGACCACCTCTTCTCATATGTTCCCTCAAGAGCACTGTGATCGGGGAATCTCCATCTCCTGGAAGTCCCAGGACCCCGAAGTGTGAAGTTTGCCCAAACTAAGGCCAGGGCGTTTTCGGTGGCAGCTCCTACCTGGTGGAACGACTTCCCGGAGCAGATCTGGGCCCTTCGGGACCTTGTACAGTTCCGCAGGGCCTGCAAGACGGAGCTCTTCCGCCAGGCCTTTGAGTAGGAGCCGCTGCCACCACTATTCCACCACTGAGATTCCATCATCCATCTACCACATTACTTGGGGGGGCGGGGTAGATGTCGCCCGGCAGAGATGCGGTGAATATCATTCCTGGTGCTCATGCCATTAAAAAATCGGCCGCCAATGTGGAATGTTGTGCATCTTGGTGATTTTATGTATATTATTAGAGCACCGATTTTATTATGTATGTAATATTGTTTTACTGTTTTAAATTTTAAATTCGGCATCGCCGCTTGTTAGCCGCCCTGAGCCACTGGGTAGGGCAGGATATAAATCCATAAATAAATAAATAAATAAAAATAAAAGCGTAGAAGAGGCACAAATATTATCTAGTACATTTGCAGACCACAATCCAATATTCTTAAAGTTAAAAGCCAGGACCAGGAAGTCAAGATGGACTATGAATATGGACATGTTAAAGGATAAAGAGGTTGTAGAAAAAATCAAAGTAATTATTCAAGAATTTTTTAGCAATAATACTCCAAAGGAAACACCCATAGAAATAATCTGGGATGCCTTTAAGGCATTCATAAGAGGGTGGTGGATCAATCGGGGGCATGGAAGAAGAAACAAGAAAATTAAAAAAAATTGAAATACTGAAAGGGAAAATAAAAGAAGAACATAGAATTAAAAACACTAATAGAGACTCAGAAAATATAAGGACTAAACTAAATAAGCTTCAGCATCAACTTAATTTCCTCCTAACCGAAGAGGTAGCAAAAAAAGTAGAAATGGCTAAACTGTACTACTTTGAAAATGCTAATAAGCCTACAAGATGGCTAGCATACAAACTGAAAAAAGAGAAGGAGAAAAGAGTAATTAAAAGACTAAAAAATGAGAGAGGAGAGGGGAAGGTGTTACAAAAAGACCTTGAAGAAATAATTCAAAATTTCTATAGAAACCTATATAATAAATCAGAAATTATAGAATATCAGGGGAAATGGGAAAAGGGAAAGTTCAACAAGGAGCAGATAGCCATATTAAATGATCCTATAACGATTTGCGAAATGACAGAGGCAATACAACATGGGGAAAAAAGAAAATCCCTGGGCCCAGATGGGATCCCTACAGAGTTTTATCAAGTATTTGAGGATCAGATACTGGGGCCCTTTAAAGAACTAACACAAAACATTCCTAATTCTAATAAAGTACCTGCCTCATGGAACGAAGCGGTTATAACACTGATCCATAAACCAAACTCTGATGAGGCGGAAATAAGGAATTATAGACCTATTTCCTTATTAAACACGGATTATAAACTTTTTGCAAAGATATTGGCTAATAGATTGAAAAGGGTCTTAATACGAATAATACATAGGGACCAATCAGGATTTCTACCTAAAAGAAGGATACAAAATAATATAAGAACTATAATTAACATTTTAGAATATTATGAATTACACCCGGGGAAGCAGATGATGTTAATACTTTTAGACACAGAGAAGGCGTTTGATAACATTAACTGGGCATATATGCTACAAAAATTAACTGCATGGGAATGTGGGAGCAATTTTACGCAATGATAAAAGCTATATATAGTAAGCAAAGTGCCAAAATTTTAATCAATGGCGAAACCTCTCAAAGCATTCTAATACAGAAAGGCACAAGACAGGGATGCCCGCTATCCCCACTATTGTTCATATTTACTATAGAATCATTACTTGACAAAATAAGAAATAATGAAATGATAAAAGGGCTGAGAGTACAAGGGGAGGTGTTCAAATTACAGGCCTTTGCAGATGATTTTATTTTTATAGTAGAAGAACCAGAACATTCTCTATCATACTTAATAAAAGAAATACAGGAATTCGGAGAGTTAGCGGGATTTAAAATCAATTTCCAAAAAACTAAAATCATAGCCAAGAATTGCCCGCAAAAGTTAATACAAAAAATAAAGATTTCAAAAATGGATGTAGCGCAGGAAGCGAAATACCTAGGAATTTGGATTTCAAGTAATACCTCAACGTTATATGAAAGTAACTATGTACAACTTCTAAATGATATTAAAAAAGATCTAAATCAATGGGAGAAAAAAAAATCTTTCGTTACTGGGCAGAATAGCAACAATAAAAATGAATATTCTTCCAAGATTCCTGTTTTTGGAGCAAAACTTACCAATACTTAAAAATTACAAATTTTGTAAGGATCTAGAGAAAAATATAAGTAAATTTATATGGCAGTCTAAAAAATCGAGAATAAAAATTAAAGATCTCCAGGATAGTAAAAAAAGAGGAGGATTTGCATTGCCTAATTGGCAGCTGTACTATTTCGCAGCATCGATGATATGGATCAAAGATTGGGTTGAGTTAGAAGATGTGAGAACTCTGGCTTTAGAAGGATCAGACTTGGTAATGGGATGGCATGCGTACATATGGTACGGAAAGGATAAAATTCACGCCAACTTCCATACACACATAATAAGAAGTGCTCTCATGAAAGTCTGGCATATAATAAAAAAGTCCCTCTGTGGTTATCTCCGATAGAAGCATTTGCCAAACCGTCACTGATAATAGGGGAAACTAAAGAAACTTATGGCAACTTATTAAATAAAAAAGCAGAACTGAAAACAGGAGATATTAAAAACACAAAATATAAATCTATCTTGGTGGGATAAAAATGTATTAAAATCAAGATACATTGAAGATTAAAAAACTGGATTTTACACTTACTTAAACGAAACTGATAAAATTTGGCTTTCTTCCAGTGATAAATTAATCCAGAAATTCTATACAAAGTTACTAGAAGAAGAGTTACAGGAAGAGATCATAAAATCGTCAATGGTAACCTGGATAAAAGTGATAGGACACACAATACAAATGGAGCAGTGGATAAAAACATGGAGGTCAATAAAATATATGAGTGCGACGGCATATAAAGAAAATATATATAAAATGTTTTTTAGGTGGCACTGGACCCCTGCTAAAGTTGCAAAATGTTTCCCGAAGGCATCAAATATCTGCTGGAGATGCGGCAGGAATATAGGATCATACCTCCACATTTGGTGGAGGTGTGACAAAATACAACAGCGGCAAGAATTTTGATAGCTAAGCATTGGAAGTCGAAAGCCATACCATCTATAAAAGAACTTAAAATTAAAATTCTGGAAATAGCAGAAATGGACAAGCTGAGTATAGCTTTGAGGAATAAACCAGAGGACCTTTTTTGGGAAAGATGGGAAATAATCTACACATGGCTGAAACTGAAGAAGATAGATCAGAGCTGAGATTATGCTAGTTTAAGATATTAGATGATAAAAAAGAAAGAGGAACTTCATATTAAGAACTGTATAAGTACTAAATGGATATTTGTATATATTGTTGTGAAATGAAAATTGAAAATAAAATTCAAAAGAAAAAAGGATGCCAGACTAACAGAGGGCAGGGCGGCGGCGACTACATCAACAGCATCCCTGACTCTTTGCATCATCATGTACCAGCACCAATACATTTTGGTGATCCTGAACCCTCCTCCTTCCTTTGCTGCTGGCTGATTTTGGATATCAAAAGCACAAGCGAGGACGAGGCCATGGCTTCCCCCTCCCTCCCCGGGATCTCTCCCT